AACCTCAAATAGGTCTTTTAGTCCATGCTGCTAGGATTCCATTTAAATGAGGAGGGAAAGTGCAACATAAGATGGAATTGAATAGTCTTTGTACTCCTTAGCCCACAGGGGGAAAAATTCTAATTTTAATGCTATTAAATAAAAGGGCTTGAACTTTGGACCCTTGAAGTCAGTCCTACTAACTACTCTGCAGAAGTAACCCCTACAAATAATTGAACAGATATGGCATTTTAGACTAGAATGATAACTGTGGCCTCAGTTGCCTTGGTGAGATTGTCATTCTTTAGACCAGAGAAAAATTGATAGGCTTTTTGGATAGTAATATGTGGAAAAGGCAGTTATAAAGTGTTGCCTGTTCATGCTATAGTATAATGGCATAAGCACAAAATCCCATGCCCCAAATATAAGCCTATCAACAGTACTAGCTATAAAATAAGTCTTATGTTTTTAAAAACTAGTACAACTAACTTAAAAATTCATTATTTTAAGCTAGATTGTAAAATAATTACTTGAAACAAATCTGAACTTTATTATTATTTATAGAAACAAGCCAGTCAATGTACAGTAAAACTGAAGAATACATGTACCAGTTATTTAAATATTATACCACAAGCCAATTTTTTTGTCTGTAAAGATACAATTATGAACAATCACAAAATATTTCAACATCCATTCAAAATTAAAATCATATAGCTAGTCCATAAAAAACACATTGAATTTCTTTTATATAGCATAATAAGCCAAGGGATACAGAACAGTTGAAAATAGTTCTAAAAGTGAAAGAATACTCACTATATAACATTAATTCTCCATGTGACACAACAATGCAGTAACACATCATAGAAGATACTTTCACATATACAAATGCTAACTTTTATATTAATAATAGCTGCTCCTTATTTTCATATGTTTGTAATATTTATTCTCAAATGTTCTTTCTGAATTTGCTAATTTGATCCTGGAACATTAAAAAAATTAGCTCACTTTATAAAGTTTGTTCTTATTCATGTAAAAAGATCTGATTACATATATATATGATAAAATGAAAGAAAAATAATGACATTTAATTTTTATGAACAATTTTTGTGGTACTGGCATACTATATATGGATCACATACATAGTTTCATCCATGATGATTTAATGTCCCTAAAATTTCATTGAAACAACATATTTAACATATTTAACATAAACAACATATTTCTGTATGCAATAGAATCACACAATTTATGATTTAGCCGAGTTCGGCTGTTGTGCTAGATGTACAGTGTTTGAAACCTTATGTAAGTTGGCTGCGAGTGGGAACCAGCTCAATAGTGGTGGGGTTTGGTTTGTGGGCTCAAAGGAAATAACCCTTCTTTGAAAGATTCCTTAAAATTGTGTTCAAATTAGCAGCAGTCAAATTCCAATCAAGACTCATTCTCTCAAATGAGTTGCCCTCTACTGATCATGCTTTCTAAGTGTTGCCCATGTCAGGAGTGGCCCTGACACAGGATCACAGAGAAGAGGAGGACCGGGCTGCAGTGCTAGCTTCTGTGTCCTCAGAACCAGCACGCCAGATGGTCTAGCCTGGACCTACCTTAAAATAGGGTTCTTTCTTTGACAATGACAGTCAACAACAGAGTAGATGGTTTCTAATTAGGCTTCAGTGGTAGCGCAAACCACTAACGCTTTGATTTAAAGCTGGATGCACAATTAAATTACAAAATGGTGTTGTTGTTTTTTTGAGTCTGGTTAATCAAAATTTGAACCTAATTGGGTTAGTTTACTTTTGGGTACAACTGTATTCAAGTCTCTTCATAGACATCCATGGTTGTTTGTTCAAGGAACTGTAATAAATCTGGGAGGACATTGCATATTATGACTTTGAAAAAAATCCTTTCTCTCCATTACAGCCTATGACTTATGTGATGATGATGAACATTCTCAATCTAGAACAAGTGCATGTAATTGATAAAGAACTGTACTAATTTTCTTCGCAGTTATGTTCCAAGTGAAATTTCTATATAAAAGCTAGTTGTTGACACTTTAAGACGACATGCCCTTAGCCTGTGCATTTGCTGTTGTTGCGAGTGGTTACTTGGTTCCTTTTCAGAGTGGCCTTACTGGGAACTTCTTATGTATGTAAACATTTTTCCTTACCGACTCCTATTAATCAAATCTCCTGCAGGCAGTGACACCAATTTACCCCTACTAATGGCTTGCTTACTACTTATGTTCCCTATACTTACATGGATGCTTTCTTGTAACTTGCAGGATTTTCTCACAGGTAACTCAGACTAACAAAATTGGTGATGCCCTGTGGCTGTTCTTGACTACAAGCCAGCATTTGACATGGTATCTCAAGTCCTCTCTTAGGCCAGGAAAAGGAAATCTTCCCCCATTCCCCCAAGACACATTTTTCCTCCTTACCACCTATAGTTTTCCTCTTTATGAAATGGGACTCTTTCCCTTTGCACATTTGTTTTAGGAAATATCAATGTCATTTTTGGATGCATAACATAAGCAACTTGTTACGATAAACTTCCAAGCCTAAACTCCAGAGAATACGACTATATACTTGTTAGTGCTGCACATAGGCCTAAAGCAGAGCCTATGCAGCTATTCTCTCCAAACCTTTTCCTACTCTCTCCTGATGTATTTGAAAGCAGAAAATACAGATGGAGAGGTAGGCATGCACCTTCTTTGGCAAGACATTCCCAGAAATGAGACTCATATTGAATTGTGTTACTCGGGGAACATGTCAACGTTGTAAAACAGATTCTAGGTAAGAACCAAAAGGTTGTTATTTTAGAACTGGACACAGAAGAAAGTGCGCCAAGCCTGGCCCTATTGAAAAGGCTTTAGCTGCTGGGTCAAAAAGAACCTGTCATCAGGGTTGACCATGTTCGAGTTGGCCAAGACGCAGCGACTCATCTTTTAGTTGGTGGTTCCCACTGGGCAGTGCCTTGTAAGAGGTATGTTTGTTATTTTGGGAAAGAAGAATTGGAAACCCTGAGGGCTTAATCTTCATAAAGCATTTGCAAGCATTTTTAAGGGCATATCAATGCAGGGAGTCACACAGCTGAGAGTTTTGAAAGAGAAGAATGAAGAGGAGTGCCGCGGGGCTTCCAGCTTCTCTCAGTGCCGGCTAGTCCTTATCCTCCTCTCTACAAACAGGTGGGGGTGGGGGTGGGGGCAAAAACAAAACAAAAGGAATGTTCCTTTAGCTAGTGCCCAGGCACACGCAATAACTATATTAAAAGCAAGTGTTATTTCTTCTGAGGGATACAAAATAGGTATCATGAAACTATTGCCTAGTCTCTCAAAAGGAGATGCTAGATAAAATAGCTTGGAGAAAACAAAACACTGAGTTCCGCTCATAAAACAACGCGATGTCAATCACCGAGAAGTATAATAATTTACCTCTGTCTAGGAATGAACACCACTGATGCCCTTGGCTGACTTTGATTTACCTGAATGTCAAGGAATCTGCCGAAATACCGAACTCACTGCGATGGAGGCTGCTCCCAGTCTGAGCAACCCTCCAGGGCAGTGCCGACCAGACCCAGACAGTTTCCCGGGCGCGCGGCCATTGCCCTCAGAAGGCTGTGCTTTGGGGTGGCTGCTGCGGACATGCGGGCTCTGAAGGGAAGCAAGTTCTATCTTGAAATCAGAAAATGTCGTCAGGGCGGAGAGGCAGACTTAGTGGCCGCTGGCCATGCTTTCCAGTGAATCAGCAGAGCTATATTTAAATTTTAGGATTTTATATCGCAGATGTGAAACCAACCAATTTTAGCTGATGAAAAACAAACGGGGGTGGGGTGGGGGTGGGGGAACCCGTTGTGTAATTCTGAAGATTCCCAAGAGTATCATACAAGCAAGTAGGAGCGTTTGAACAGCACTGCACAGTTTATGGGGCCCTTTGCCCAAACACCTGTATTTGAAATCAGTCCTCCCAACAGCCCAGTGAGATAGGTAACCAACAAACAGCCAAGGGAATAGAGACTTCATCTGTTTTTCGTAATGAAGGCAGACTAGGCACGTGGGGAGTTCCCTTTACACTCCTCACATGCTACTTCTCAATTCTGAAACTGCTAAATATTCCATATATGAGAAAGAGAAAGAAAGGAGAAATCATTTTGATACATGGGGGGGGGGGGGTGCATTTGATATCCTGATTCTCTTCTTTGTGAATCTGGATTCCCTAGGCAGGATGCCTTACAACACTGACCACCAGGTCTGGACAGCATTGAGGAAGTCTGAACACCTCGAAGCAATCCTTTCCCTACTTTTCTAGTAAAATTGGGCCTTCCCCAGACCAGGTTGGCTTTAAAGCAACCTCTCAGTAGGAGGGGAAAACAACAGCAGGATAAGGGGCCAGTTGACAGAGTTTTCTGTAATCCTTGGACATTAGCAACGATGGTGCTTTTCGGAGCCAATAAACCACGAGGAAGCTCGGAGAGCACGGCCAGTTCCAAACACACTGTTTTGAAATGTAGGGTGATTTATAGCTTCTCATGGAAATTTCTCCTTTCATTCTGAACAGTTCGCTGCTTTCTCAACACACCCTCGCCCCCAGACCTTCCCAGAGCACTCATCCCATCTTCAGGTCACTACTTCAGGCTGAGTTTTCTGATGCAAAATCGATTTTGAATTTTCTGATGTAAAAAGTGATTTTCCCGGAAGGAACCATAATTTCTCTGAAGTCTCTCCTGAGTCCTTTCTAGATTCACTCTGTTCAGAAAGTTGGGCCATTTACCCTGGCCTAACAGTAAATGCCCTTTACATCCATCAAACCTTAGTTATGCCAGGAACTTTTCTTTTGTTAAAAAAGGAACCAACAAGAAAAATATAAAGCCAGGGTGGTTGTGATTTTTCTACTAGACACAGAATACCTGTTACATGTCTGGGAATTAGAAGCACAGATTTTAGTCTATTGTCTTTTATGAACAGTTCATATAAAATAAAATAGTCCTTGGTAATAGTGATATGAAAATGCAACTAGAAACACAGCCTTGTCCCCAATGAATAGATTTATATTTATACTTATTCTATGGTCATTGGTTGTCACGATTTCTAGTCTATTCAGCAAATTGACACACACCCCCCCCCGCCCCCAAAAAAAATCTGTTTCAAGAGTCTGTATAAATAAGGAGCTCAGGTTGAAACAGGAATGAATTTTATGGACTTGGAAGATTTAGGTGAGTCTTTCCAGATATTGGTACTATTTGTTGGGCTTCGGTTGTTGGTGTAAGAAGTCTGTCTCCTGCTCATGCTGTCCGAATCTTCTTTGTTGAATTGTTGCTTCATTTTTCGGCAGCATGGGAAGCTTTGGACACAGTCTTGCAGGAGATGTCCACTGAAAAACATGTATATCCAGGGATTGCAGCAACTATTCAAGGAGGCCAGTAAGGCAGTGATGGTGATGGCAGGGTTTTCTGAATCTGTGTGAAAACATAAGGGCATATTATTTCAGTAGTCAAATTCATGTAACTGAAAAACTCATTTTTCTATTGACTTTTGAACTAGGAAAAAGAAATATGGGTTACTATCGAAAATGAATCATTTTGCTGATTAGAGAAATGGGTGGTGTATGAAATCTAACCCGGTCATAACACCTTATTCTAAGTGAGATGTCTTGAAATTAATTAATATATTTTAAGTTGTGTTAGAATTTTGAAGTAAAATGTAGGCAAACCACAAGAAAGTTATTCTCAGATTAAGAATATGAAATCACTCGTTTTAAAAATCCTTGTATCCTTTATAAAAGTAGCACTAACATAATTTCTTGGGCACAGCATTTAAGGAATAACTTCAATTTCAATAAAACTTCACGAATCTATAACCACACCTACTAAATTGTATGCATCAAAATAGCATAGACAACAGTGTGGTATCGTGGACCACAGTTAAATTTTTTTCAATATACTAATCATATTCTTAAGAAAATTGTACAGAAAGGACTTACTGAAAGAGGTCCTTGAAGGATATAAAATTTAGTTGTTTTTCTTTGATTAATTAAACATTTGGCTGGATTTTGACAGAAAGCAATATTTAATTGCCTAATTTAAATCATTTAAATTAATTTATTGCTATAAACTTGGGGCTTCTCACGCTTATGTCACAACAAATTACAGGCTATTTAATCACATTCTATGCTAAGACTGCCTGTAATCACGATCCTTGACTAAGTCTATATTTAAAAATAAAAAGGAAATCATCAACCTACCCTTGCATAAATGAGGAAGATCTGAGTAATTTTATCCAAATCTAAGGAGTCTTGGTAGCAGAGCGGGTTCTGCTTTGGGCTCACAAGCTTAGCAGTTGGAAGCCATCAGAACCCACCAGCCCCTCCTTGAGAGAAAGCTGATGTTGTCTGCTCCTGGACACAGTGAGTCTCAGAAACCCTGCACAGGGTCATCTTCCAGGTCGACAGACTGCTCCCTAGAACTAGAGCCAAGAATGGCAAAGCTTCATCTTACATACTTTGGACATGTCATCAGGAGAGACCAGTCCCTGGAGAAGGACATCATGCTCGGTAAATAGAACCCAAACCAAACCAAACCAAACTCCCTGCCATCGAGTTGATGCCGACTCATAGTGACCCTGCAGGACAGGGTAGAACAGCCCTGTGAGTTTCTGAGACGGTAACTCTTTTTCTCGAGGAACAGCTAGTCATTTCGAACCATTGACCTTATGTTCAGCAACCCATGTAAACCATTATGCCACCAAGGCACCCTTTGGGAAAGTAGAGGGACATCAAATAAAGAAGTCCCTCCACGAATGGATTTTGACATAGTGGCTGCCACAATGGGTTCAAGCGAAGGAACAATTGTGAGGATGATGCAGGTCTGGGCAGCGTTTTGTTTTGTTGTGCTTGGTGTCGCTGTGGGTCAGAACGAAGTCAATGGCCCCTAACACCAACATCAACAAAATTATCTGGATGGCAGTGAGTTTGGGTTTATCTGTGGGTTTGGGCTGATAAATTTATAATCCATATGGCTTTCTGATTTGATAATATTAAGAAGTTATTAAAATCAAGCAAAACAAGATATAGTTAACAAAAAGGGTGCCTTGTATTTTCATAGCCTGTCATGGGTATTATAGGCATCCAAGAATTTTTATCTCTACAAATTAAATTCACACTCATGTGGGATTAATATATTATCCTATAGCAATTCCAAATACCAAAAGGAATCAGCTCCTCTCACACACCTATTTCCAGCTCCAATTGTTAGTTAGCTTTAGCATTCCTGTAACATAATCATGATTGATCTGGGAAAAAGTTTAATTTGCTTACTAAAAGAAAAAAACAAAAGAGGCACCTGGTTGGTGGTGGTGCTTTTATATCAGTCAGGGGCAAAGCAGAGTGGCAAAAAAAGAAAAAAACAAGATGCAACATAAAGGGATACTTTTTTGTATAGTAGATCTGTCAAAACAATTTATCACGCCTGTTCAGGAATTAAAATCAAGCAATCTAAGTAGATGCAAAAAACATTCTCAGTAAACCACTGAACATACTCGTGTGGAGAAGTGTGTATAGCTGTATGGTCAAATTAGTGATGAAAGACAAATGAACTAATTAACAAATGTAGAGTTTGTCCATAATTCTGTTTTGACACAATATTAAAAAGGCTAAAGGGATTATTTGGGGGGGATTATGATATGGAATGTCACTTAAGTGCTAAATTAGAATTCATGATTTAATCTTTCTCCAGAAAAAAAAATCTTTTTTAGGCCCTGGTCCTTGGAGCATAACTTCAACATTTTATATCAAGTGTAATACTTTCACAATTTTTATACAAAGCAGTTGTGGCCTTTCAATTATTTTCCTGTACCCAACAGACTTGAAAGCCAGGGGTTAACACCGTGGTGGCAAAAGCATCACTCGGTATTGTGTTGTGAGGCTGCCTCTGGAGTACAATTTCTGGATGTGCGGTTTTAGGATCCTTGCAGGCTACAAAGGCAGCTACCTGCGCCCATCTCAGATCTACTGAATCAAAAGGTGCGGACTCCGGGAATTTGCACCTTAACAATTCCCGGAGGTGATTGTTAGGCGGGCAGAAGTTAAAGAAGCACTGCCCCGAAGGAGATTACAGGAAAGACTCCCTTGGCCACAAACTCCCACAGCTCGACCCATGCCCCTGCCACCACGCTTCCAGTACCTACCGACCCAGACCGACGTCTCATCCCAGACGGACCACATCTGGATGATGAAGAAGGGCGCCCAGCAGACGATGTAAGACGTCACGATCACTAAAGTCATCTTCACCGTGCGGATCTTGGCGCGGGAAATGGTCTTCACGCTGCTGACGCAGGGCTCCAGCAGGAGGCCCTTGTGGAAGGCGCTGCCCGCGGTGCCCGCGGCGCCCGCGGCGCCCGCGGCGCCCTTGTCCTTGCGGGACGTGGTCTTCTCGCGGACGTTGCGCCAGATATGGTAGCAGATGAAGCCGTAGCAGGTGCCCAGGATGATCACGGGCGCCACGAAGATGCCGCCGGTCATCCAGGTCACATAGGCGCGGGGCCCCCAGGGCTGGACGAAGGTGGCCCAGCAGTCGTACGCCTTGGTGACGTTGTTCACCTCGATCATGGAGAAGATGAAGTACTGGGGCGTGCTCAGCACGAAGCTCAGCACCCAGGCGGCCGCGATCATGAGGCGCGAGCGGCGCGCCGGCTGCTGCAGCGTCTTGAGCGGGTGGCACACGGCGATGTAGCGGTCGGCGGTCATGACCACTAACATGTAGGCCGACGCGAACATGCCCAGCACCTGCAGGTGCTTCACCACTCGGCACAGCCCGTCGGGGCCGCGGAAGCGGTAGGTGATGTCCCAGCAGAGCTGCGGCAGCACCTGGAAGAAGGCGACGGCCAGGTCGGCCAGGCTGAGGTGGCGGATGAAGAGGTGCATGCGGGACGTTTTGCGCGGCGTGCGGTGCAGCGCCAGCAGCACGCTGCTGTTGCCCAGGACAGCCACCACGAAGGTCACGGCCAGCACGGCGATCTCCAGCTTGGCCAGCTCCTCGTTCCGCACGTCCTGCTCCTGGGCGCTCCCTTCCTCGGGCGCCTCGGCCTCCCGGCTCAAGTTTGTGATCCCGGGGGCCGGGGGCCACCACGAGCTGGAGTTGTCCGCGGGGCCCTCGCTGGAGTCTCCCGAGAAGCCCATGCTGTCCCTCCGATGTCCCTTCCGACCCCCCTCGGAGGCCCCCGCCCGC